CCCCCCCCCCCCGCACTGGGTAAACTGGGAGCGCTGGGAGCCTCGGAAATGGGAGGGGGATGGGGGGAGTCCCGGGGGGCAGCGGCCACACCCAGCAGCGCTTCCCCCCGCAGAGCGGGATCTGCCCCCAAAGTGGGGGTCCTGCCCCCCTCCTCCCCCCGCGGGGGTCCCGCTGTCACTCACCCCCACCACGACGCTGTCGTCCCCCTGGAACACGGGCAGGAACTTGTCCCCCCGCAGGATCTCGGCCTGGTTGAGCGGCCGGAAGCGGCACAGGACCTTGATGCTGCACTCGGAGCTGGGCTCGGCCATGCCGGGGCTCGGGGGGCTTCACACGGAGGGGCAACGGGGCTGGGGGGGTCACCCGGGGCGCTGCTCACAGCCTGAGGGACAGCTGGCACCGGGGGGCAGGATGGCAGCCGGGGATGCTGAGCGCGACCCGGGGCTGCAGGATGATGCTCAAGGATGCAGGATGCTGCTCAGGGATGCAGGATGCTGCTGCTCAGGGATGCCGGGTGGTACCCAGGGATGTAGGATGCTGCTCAGGGATGCAGGACGCTGTAGCTCAGAGATGCCGGGTGGTACCCAGGGATGCAGGATGCTTCCCGGGATGCAGAATGATGCTGCCCAGGATGCAGGGTGATGCTGCTCAGGGATGCAGGATGCTGCTCAGCACTGCAGGGTGGTACCCAGGACTGCGGGTGGTACCCAGGGATGCAGGATGCTGCTGCCCAGGATGCAGCTCAGGGATGCAGGATGATGCTGCTCAGGGATGCGCCTTGCGGGCTGCAGGATGCGGGAGGCGGCGCCGGGCGGGGCTGACGCTCCGCAGCTGCCGCTGTCGCCGCTCCTGTGACCGCTGCTGTCGCCACTGCAGCCCCGGGACCGGCGGGGGGGGGGGGGGGGCCCCCCCCCCCCCCCCCCCCCCCCCGCTTTAGGGGGGGCCCCCCCGCCGCTCTTAAGGTGGCCGGAACTGAGGGGGGGGCGCAGCCCTGGGGAAGGACCCCCCCAAAGTGCTGATTCACGGCGGGGGGAGCAGCACGGGCCGGGGTTGGCGGGGGGAGCAGGGCCAGCCTCCCCCCGGCTCCCGGCTCGGCTCCCCCCCGCGGGAAGCCCGCGCTCCTGACTCATCCCCCGGTACGCCGGGGGCTCTGCCCAGCCCCCGCTCCGTGTGACCCCCCAAACACGCCGGGGGCGTCCGCAGCTGACCCCGGGGGTCCCCCGCGGGTGAGAAGTGCAGCCCACTATGGGACACCCCCACGGTGCACCCCAGTGCCACCCGGCCTGTGCGTGCCCCTACCCGTGAGACCGGCTCGGTGTCCCCCCGTGTCCCTCCGTGTCGCCCATCCCTGCGCTCCCCCATGTGCCCCTCATGTGTTGCCCGTGTGTCCCCTCACTGTGTGCCCCTGTGCCCCCCTCGTGTCTCCCGGTGTCTCACCCGTGTGTCCCCACATCTGAACCCCGTGTCCCCCCGTGTGCCCCCCGTGTGTCCCCCCGTGCGTGTCCCCCCGTGCCTTGAGAAGGCCAGGGGGTCTCAGAACAGTGGGGGAACCAGCAGGACATGCAGATGCAGGGGCTGGGGACGTGGGAGAAGGGTGGCTCTGAGAGGGCCAGAGTGGGCCAGGGGGATCTGAGGGTGCTGTGCGGGGTCTCAGGGTGGTGAGGGGATCTGGGGGAATCTGCAGGATCCGGGGAAATCTGCAGGAATTTGGGGATCTGAGGGTGCTGTGCGGGGTCTCAGGGTGGTGAGGGGATCTGGGGGAATCTGCAGGATCCGGGGAAATCTGCAGGGATTCAGGGATCTGCGGGCACTGGCAGGGGCTGGGGGTTCCAAGGGTTTTGGGGGATCTGAGGGGATTGGGGGAATCAGGGGTCCTGAGGAGGTCTGAGGGCTCTGGGGGGGGCTGAGGGGCTGCAGGGATCGAGTCAGTTCGGGATGTCTGAGATTGGAATGACTGACAGGGTCTGGGAACCAGAGGGATTTGGGGAATTTGAGGGGCTGTGGGTCTCTGAGAAGATCTGGGGGTGAGCTGAGGGGTCAGTGGGGTGTGGGGGTTGGCAATGTTTGGGGTGTCTGTAGGAATGGGAGGGGGCTTGGGGTGCCAGGGAGCACCTGTCTGTCTGTGGGTCTGTCTGTGGGGGGAACACGGGTCCCGGGGGGGTGGGGGCACCCCGTGTGTTTGGGGTGACTGGGAAGTGGGACGTGGAGCAGGGGACAGGGGCAGTGAGTTGGGGTGCTGGGGGGACACTGCAGTGTTTGAGTGCTTTTGGGGGAGCAGGGACAGTCAGCAAGGGCTGTGGGGACATTGGGGTGTCCAGAGGGAGATGTGACCCTTCAGAGCTGTCCATGGGGATGAGGTGTGGGGGTCAGGGGCCGCTGTGGGGGTCCCAGCACAGCCCCTGGTGCCGCAGGCCCGGAACGAGCCCGACGTGTACGAGACCAGTGACCTGCCCGAGGATGACCAGGCCGAGTTCGAGGCGGTAAGGCCCGGCCAGGGGGGAGCAGCAGCAGCTGGAGCAGACCCCCGGGACCCCCCAGGACCCCCAGGACTGGCACCGTGGCAGGGAACCGGCTCCCACGCACCCAGCAGCACATCCTGCACAGTGACACGTCACCCCACGGGGGCAATGTCCCCCTGCAGTGGCCGTGTCCCTCACGGTGACAGTGTCCCCCACAGTCCCAATGTCCCCCTGCAGTGGCAGTGTCCCTCACGGTGACAGTGTCCCCCCACAGTGACAGTGTCCCCTCACAGCAACAGTGTCCCACACGGTGACAGTGTCCCCCCACAGTGACAGTGTCCCCTCACGGCAACAGTGTCCCTCACGGCAACAGTGTCCCCCACAGTGACAGTGTCCCCCCACGGTCACAGTGACAGTGTCCCCCCACGGTGACAGTGTCCCCCCACGGTGACAGTGTCCCCTGCAGTGACAGTGTCCCCTCACAGTGACAGTGTCCCCTACAGTCCCAATGTCCCCCTGCAGTCCCAATGTCCCACCACAGTGACAGTGTCCCCTCACAGTGACAGTGTGCCCTGCAGTGACAGTGTCCCCTAACAGTGACAGTGTCCTCCCACGGTGACAGCGTTCCCCATAGTCCCAATGTCCCCTCACAGTGACAGTGTCCCCTGCAGTGACAGTGTCCCCTACAGTCCCAGTGTCCCCCTGCACTCCCAGTGTCCCCTCACAGTGACAGTGTCCTCTGCAGTGTAGCCCCCCATCCCCCTGTGGCACCCTGCCTGTGCTTTTGGGGCAGGAATGGGAGAGCAGCAAACAGCCTCCCCCACACGGGCTGGGTGTCCCTGTCCTTGCTGTCCTTGTCCCCAAGGGGAAGGGGCTGCCAGTTCCCCAACCCCACCCCGAGGGGAACAAGGGGGACCCCCTGAACCTGCTGTGAGTAGTGGGGGGTCCCCAGCCTGGGCTAAGGCCATTCTTAGGGGTGGCTGCACAGGGAATTCAGTGTGCAGTGACAGGGGTCCATCCTGGTGGGGCTCAGGGGACCCCCGGGGCTGTGGGGTGACCCCCAGCTGTGCTGGGGAGGACAGTGGGGGTTCAGGGGTCACAGCCTGAGGGGTGACTCGGTGCCCCCCGAGCCAGTGAGGGGGTGCCAGGCCTTGGGGGTGCAGGGGGTGCAACACCTGCCCTCTACCATCAGTGCCAGTGGTGTTTTTGGGGTCTGGCAGATTGGCACAGATCCCTGACATGGAGCAGGGCCCACCAGGTACCCCCAAATCCTGAGGGGGGCAAAGAGACCCCCCCCCATGAGAGCCAGGGCAGCACGATGGGCTGAAACAGGGGTTTGAGCCCAAACTGGACCCAGTCATGAGGTGACATGTGGCCCCTGCTGTGGGGGGAGGTGACAGATGGGGGGTCCTGAGCCCCTCCTGCCTCAGGGAGCCCTTCACCAGCTCTGGGGTGTTGGGGGGTCCTTCCTCCCCCTCGGGGAGCCCCCCAAACTGACCAGGGCTCCCCCCGCTTCCCCCCCGCTCCCGCCTGGCCTGGACTCAGTTTGCACAAGTAAGCGCGGCCCTGCTTTGGGGTGCATGGGGGGGCACTGCTGCATGTGCATGGGGGTCCCAGCGCTGTCCCCTCTGGGGTCCCCCTGCTGCTCTGGGGGTTTTGGGGTGCCCTGCACTGCCCTCCTGCTCTGCCTTGCCCTCTGCATCCTCTGCCTGCTGCCCGTACTGCCCACCTGGCCTTGGGACCCCCGGGACCCCCCAGGACCCCCGGGCTGGGTCTCATTGCCCTGGGGACACTGCCTGGGCATGGGGGGGCCGTGCTGAGCCCCCTCACTGCTGCCAGCATTGCATGGGGCAGCTGCTGGGCTGGGGCAGCTCCTGGCCCTTCAGAGCCCCCCAGGCTCCCTGGGGTCTCTGGGGGTCCCCCTGAGTGTTGGGGTCCTGTGGGGGAGCACCGGGGAAGAGCTGGAGCTCCTGAGGGGAGTTAGGGGGTGATCCCCCAAACTCTGGCCACGTCCTGCTCCCCTCCAGAGCACGGCCCTGCTGCCCCCATCCCCGGCTGCCCCGGGTCTGTCCCACTGCCCCACATCCTGCAGGGGTCCCCAGCCCTCGGGGGTCCCCAGCCCGTGGGGTTCCCTGTCTCGCAGGGGTCCCCAGCCCTCGGGGGGCGGCGAGCGCGGGCCGGACCTTCTAACGCGGATTTTGTCTCTCTCTCCCCTCTCTAACCTTGCTCTGACTTTCTCACCTCTGGGAAACGCCAGGAGCTGGTAAGCGCCCGTCTCCCGGCCGCTGTCACTGTCCCTCAGCCACTGTCACCCGCTGCCACCCACCGCAGCCCCCTAACACTGCCAGCGCTGCTCCCGCCGCTCTCACTGCCCGCAGCAAACCAGGGCCCTGAAACCACCCGGGCCAGAGCCTGGGGGTGCTGCACAGTGGCACACGGGGATCCTTTGGGTCCCCCCAGAGCCCTGCTGAGCTGGGGACCCCCTTGATGGCAGCAGGGGGCAAGGGACACACCGGCTGTGCCCACCCTGCCTGGCACAGGGCACTGCCCCCGGTCTGGGGGCCTGGGGGCCTATGCCCCCCACTGCCCCCCTGATCAGCCCAAAAGGCAGCCAGAGGGCAGTGACAGCCCCAGGGGGCCGGGGGTCACCCTGGGGAGGAGGTTGTCCTGCCAAAACACAGCTGGGGACAGCGACAGTCCCATGGGGACAGGGGTCACCCTGGAGGGACCAGCAATGGGTCCTGGTCCTGGCCAGGGGCTGCTGGAATGTTCCACAGATCGGGATAGGCTGAACCTTGGGGGTCCCTGAGCTGGGCCAGGCCAGGGGCCCAAAGTCCTGACACGTCTTTGGGGGAGCCCTGCCTGCTGGGCTGGGCCAGACCAGGGCCCAGTGTCACCAGAGTCCAGTGCCACCACGCTGGGCCAAGCTTGGGTCTGATGTCCCCACACTGCACCAGGGGTCCAACATCCCCACTCCAGACTCTTGAGAGTACCTCCCCCTAGGCCAGGCCAGTCTGGGGGTGTGCTGTCCCCACCCTGGACCCTTGGGGACATGCCACATCACTGCCAGCAGAGCCCTCACTGGGCTGCCCTGGGGCCTGCGCCTGTGTCCTGGGGAGGACCAGGCTAGCCACGCCGTGTGCTGGGGGTGGTGGCAGCCCTGGGGCTCCCTTGTCCCATCCCTGTCCCTGCCGGGGGAGGTGGTGGCAGTCTGGGGACGCCGTGTCCCTGTCCCTGACGTGGCTCCGTGTGCAGGAGGAGCTGAGCAGCACCAGCGTGGAGCACCTGATCATCAACCCCAACGCTGCCTACGAGAAGTTCCGGGACAAGCGCCTGGGCACGGAGGGTGTGGGTGAGCTGGGGAGCTCGGGGGGGCCAGGGGGGCTGGCCATGAGCCGGGGGACCACGGGGACACTGAGCCCCCCGAGCTGGGTTGGGTCACACCCGCCTCTGCCTCTTGCAGATTTCTCTGACCGCATCGGCCGCACGCGGACAACGGGTTACGAGGCTGGGGAGTATGAGATGGTGAGTGGGCAAGGGGCGCCCCCCCTCCCCACGCAGTGCTTGGGGCACCCCTGGGTGCCACAGGTCCCTTGGGACCCCTGGGGTCACCTGCTGCAGCCCCTAGCCTCACAGGAGCCGTGTGCCAGCTCCACCAGCACCGTGCTGGTCTCTGCCCAGTCCATCCCAGTCTGCCGTGCTGGGAGCCCCTGTCCTCACCACAGACCCTCGAGGGTGCTCAGGACAGCGGTGGTCACCAAGTCCTGGCTGGAGCTGGGAGTCCCAGGGTGGATCTGGGGGTGGTCCTGACAGTCCCAGGTAATCCTGGCTGGCTCATGTTCAGCTGGGTGTCCCCCAGGCCCCCGGGCCTTTCCTGGGTACTCCCCCGTGTCCTGGTGCTGGGCTGTTTCCCCAGCAGGGCCCTGCCTGTCCCCTCACTGACTGAAGTTCTGTCACCCCAATTCCCTGGGCTGTCCCAGTTCCTCTGATCCCTCAGGACCCTCCCAGGGGGCTCAGGGTGGGCTGCAGGCCCTGTCACCCAGGGCCAAAGGGGAGAAGGTGGCTGAGGGTCACCTGGCTCCTTCTTGGCCTGCTGAGAGGGGGTGACATCTGCGTCCCCTGGGCTGGTCACTGTCAGGCCAGCCCAGCTCAGGGTATCTCTGGGAACAGCTGGGTTTGAGCAAGGACCAGGGAACCCTCACATTCCACAGGGGGCATGCCACTACCCAGAGCCACCCCACAGCTTTAGAGCCTGGGTGAGGAGGAGGAGGAGGAGGGGGAAGAGCTCTGTGGGCACTGAAATGGGGAGATCCATGGGGGTGGTGATGGGGAACTTCATGTGGGTGAGGATGAGGAGTTCCATGGGGGTGAAGATGAGCTTCATGAGGATGAAGACGGGGAGCTGTGAGTGTGAAGATGAGGAGCTCCGTGAGGATGAAGATGAGCTCCAGTGCAGCCCCTCTCCCTGTGGGTTCAGGACTGTCCTGGGCTGCTCCTGCCCTGCCCCACTGGCCCCGTCAGGTTCCCTTTAGGTGCCACCTGAGGTTCTGTCACCTGAGGCTGCTCTGACCTGTCCCTGCAGGCCTCACCTGCTCCTTCTGCTTGATGCCAGGTGCTGCCAGCACCTGTGAACCCCCTGAGCCCCCTGAACTCTGTGAGACCCCTGACCCCTCTGGGCCCCCTGAACTCTGTGAGACCCCTGAACCACCATGAGATCCCTGAGCACTCCATGAGACACCTGAGCCCCCTGACCCCTCTGAGGCCCCTGAACCACCATGACCCCTCCACCATCCCATGAGCTCCCCTGACCCTGTGTGAGCCCCCCGTGAGCCCCCCGACCCATTTGTCCCACAGCTGGGTGAGGGTCTTGGTGCCAAGGAGACGCCGCAGCAGCGATTCCAGAGGTTGCAGCACGAGGTGCAGGAGCTGCTCCGAGACGTGGAGCAGATCCAGGTGAGCTCCCACCTGTCCTGGGGCAGGGCTTGGGGGTGACACAGCACCTGTGTGCACAGGTGAGCCCTCACCTGTCCCAGGGTGTGTCCCGGGGGTGACACAGCCCCTTTGTGTCCCCAGAGCTCAGTGAAGGAGTCGGGGGCTGAGGAGGAGCTGACGCCCATGGCCCTGGCCAGGCAGGTGGAGGTGCTGAAGCAGCAGCTGCTCAGCTCCCACCTGGAGAAGGTTCTGGGCCCTGGTGCTGCCGTCGACTTTGCTGATCCCGAGGGTGCCCTGGCCAAGTGAGTGGGGGACACCACCCCGAGGAAGCATGGCAGAGTCCCCGTGGGGTGGGACAGGGACCCTCCAGCTTGTCCCCTGCCTGCCTTGTCGCTGTGCCCACCCTGTCCCCTCCTGGCTGTCCCCAGGCGGCTGCTGCAGCAGCTGGAGGTGGCCAAGTGCAGCAAAGCCACGGCGGGGAAGGGCCCCGCGCGGGCCGCCCCCCCTGCCGGCGATGCTGTCACCTTCGAGCTCTACTGGAGGCCGGAGCAGGACCAGTTTGCCCAGTCTGCCAAGGTGAGCGGGGGCTGCTGGCCCCGCAGGGGTGTCCTGGGGAGGGGGACACCACACCTGGGACCGACACCTCACCCCAAACCCCGCAGGTGTCGGAGCTGGAGAAGCGTCTGGCACAGCTGGAGGCGGCCATGAGGTGTGAGCCCGACAGCCAGGTGAGTGCCCAGGTGAGGGGGGGCTGCCCTGCTTCCCTCCTGCCACTTTCCTGCCCCCGTCCTTCATCTGCACCTACTGACACCATTTCCCCCCACAGAACCCACTGCTGGTGGGGCTGAAGGGCTCCAGTCTCATGGTGAGTTGGGAAAGAGGTGTTTGGAGGAACCCCTGGCCCCCCCCTGCCCTCAGTTCTTTGGGGGGGGCTGCTGTACCCCCCTCACCTGTCCCCCCTCCCCAGGACACGGTGCAGGTGCTGCAGGCCAAGGTGAACGTTCTGGACGTGGCTGTGCTGGACCAGGTGGAGGCTCGGCTGCAGGTGAGGGGAGCTGGGGGGCACTGCTGAAATTGGGGGGCACTGCTGAAACTGGGAGGCATTACTGGATTTGGGGCCCACTGCTGGATTTGGGGTTTTTCTCCCCCCACACCAGAGCGTCCTGGGGAAGGTGAACGAGATCGCCAAGCACAAGGCCACGGTGCAGGACGCTGACACCCAGAGCAAGGTATGGGCTGTGAGGCCCAGAGGCCAGGGGGAGATCCAGAAAAGCCCCCCCAGGCTGTGCTGATCCCCCACCCGCTGCCCCCCAGATCCACCAGCTGTACGAGACGCTGCAGAGCTGGGACGCCGTGGCCAGCGCCCTGCCCGACGTGGTGCAGCGCTTGGTGACCCTGAGGGACCTGCACGAGCAAGGTGAGGGCCGGGGGGGCTGGGGGACACCTGGTGGGGGTCACTGCCCTCCCCAGCACTCAGGTGTGTCCCCCTGCAGCCACCCAGTTCGGGCAGGTGCTGGTGCACCTGGACACGACGCAGCAGGAGATCGCAGGAGCTCTCAAGGACAACGCGGTGCTGTTGGCTGAGGTGGGTCCCCCTGGCCCCCCACTGCCCCCTGTCACCCCATCACCCTGTCCCCCATCACCCCATGACCCTCACCTCCATCCCCTATCTCCCCATCCTCACTGACTCACATCACCCATCCCCAGCTGCCCCATCACCCTCTGCCCCATCCCTCCCTGCCCCATCCCCCCCTCACCCATCTCCCTGCCCCCCAGGTGCAGAAGACCATGAAGGACAACCTGGCCATCGTCGAGGACAACTTTGCCGACATCGACGCCCGCATCAAGCGGCTGCAGAAGTGAAAGGCCCCAGAACACCCCCGGGGCTCCCCTGAGGACATTCCCGTGCCCCCCCAGGACCCCCTGGGCCCTGTGACCCCCCACAGGTCCCAGCTGCTGCTTGTAAATACCCTGGCTCGGCCCCCCGTCCTGTGTCCCTGTCCCCACGGGGGTCCTGCCTGTCCCCCGCTCCCTCCCCAGCTGTGGGTGTCTGGTCCCCCCGTACCCCAATAAACAGCTCGGCTCCCGGGGTGTGTGTCTGTATCTCTGGTGGGGGGCAGGAGCGGGGCCCCCCAAACTGGGGACTGCGGGGGACACGAGGGGAACGTGTGGGACCCCCACAAGGATGAGGGGCTGGGGGCAGCTGGACCCACAGACAGGGGAGGGGTCCCGGGTGTGTCCCCAACCCTCACACGGGTCCTGCAGCCCCCCACCCACAGCCAGAGCACCCCCATGGCACCAGTTGTCCCCCCACAGGTGCCACCAGCCCCCCCCAGTCCCGCCATCCCTCCCAGCTCCAGTGCCCGCAGGACCCCCCCAGTTCCCCCCCCCCCCCAGTGGGTGGCACCGAAGCCCCGCCCACTCCCCGTAATCCCCGCCCATTCCCGCCAAGCCCCGCCCCTCGCCCCTTGCCCGCTGGTGGGCGTGGCCCATTTCCCGCCATTGCATCATCCCCGCGTGACCCCCCACGCGCCCCTCCCTCGCGCTAGGCGGTGCCGCTCATCCCGCCGCCGCCGCTCTCCCATTGGTTGGCGCTCTCCTGCCAGTCACGCATCCCGCGCGCCCATTGGCTGCCGCCGGCGCGAGCGTTGCGTCAGGCTGCAGTTAAAGCGGCGCGGCGCGGGGGGCTGGGCGCAGCGCGGGACGATGCGGACGAGGATGAACAGGGGGCAGCGAGCGGAGCGGGGCCGGGGGCAGCCGGGACCACCCAGGAAGGTGCGGGGAGGGCGGGGGGCAGCCCGGGGACCGGCCCCGGGGGACGCCCGGGGGGCACGGGGGCCGCCGGCCGAGGGGAACCGGAGCGCCCGGAGCTGTCTCCGCGGGACGGGGGCTCCGAGCCCCGGCGAGCCCCCCCTTGGGGGTCACCCCTCCTAAGAGCACCCCCTCCTCCTTCCCCAGGCATCAAGGAGAAAGTGTGTCCTCGCCGACCACCACACCTGAGAGCAGGTAAGGGGTCACCCCCTTTGGCTGCCGGGGCCGGCCCGGGCACCGGGGGTCCCGCCCCGCTCTCCCTCACTCCGTTCCCGTCCTTCGCTCCCTCCCGCAGCCCACGCCGGGCCCGAGGTGACGATGGCGGCCGAGGGGCTGTGGGGGCCGGGCGGCCCCCCCGGCTGGGAGCTGGACGGCTGGTACGAGGACCTGCAGGAGGTGCTGGCGGCGGAGCCCCCCGGGCCCGCCCCCGCCTGGGGGCCCGAGCAGGTGAGCGCGGGGCCGGCGGCGCCCCCGGGGCGGCGGGCGCGGGGCGCGGCCCCCGCTCCATCACCGGCCCCGGTTCCGCTCCCTCCGCAGGTGGAGCCGGGCCCGGGGGGCTGCGGGCTGGACCTGGCTCTGGCCGAGGAGCTGCTGCAGCTGCTGGAGCCGGAGGGAGCGGCTCCGGCAGAGCCCCCGGCCGCGACCCCCGGCGGGAGCGGGCCGGGCCCCGCCGAGGAGGCGGAAGAGGAAGAGGAGAAGGCGCGGGGGGCGCGGAGGAAGCGGCGCGGCGGCGCCGGGGCTCCGCGGCAGCGGGACGGGGAGCGGCGGGTGCGGGAGCTGACGGCGCACAACGAGCGGCTCCGCGCCGAGATCCAGCGGCTCAGCAGCGAGGTGCAGCGCACCCGGGCCGCGCTCATCGACCGCATCGTCAACCTGCGCCAGGTGTAGCGCCTGCCGGGACACGGACCCCGCGCGGCTGGGGACAAGGACTCTGCTGCCCCCCGGAGCGCGGGGACAGCCCTATGGACAGATGGACGCTGGGACAGACAAGTGGATGCAGCTGCTCCACGCCGTTGTACAGCTCTTTGTCATTTATTACACACGTCCGACCACAACCCGCGCGGCCCAGTTTGGTTACTGGAACTCCTCAGGGTGTCCCGGCCTGGGTGCTGGGGTCACTTCTTCCGCTTGCCCTTGGGGACCTCGGGGCTCCGGCCTTCGGCCAGCGCCAGCTGCTGCTTCAGCTCCAGCAGTTTGGCCACCTGGGCGTCCACCTGGGCCTTCTCCACCTGGGCAGCCTTCAGCTGCCTCACCAGGTTGCCCTGGACAGGTGGGAGGAAGGATTTGAGGGTGTGATGAGGATTTGGGGAGGGTTAGAGGCATGACAGTGTGTGTCCCGTGCCCTGTGCTCCCTCACCTGCTTGGCCACCTGCTCCGTCAGCTCCTGGATCAGTTTGGGGTCACCTGGAGCTGCTGAGGTGTTGGGGGGGGCAGGGGGGGCTGAGGCTGGGGGGGGCTGCTTGGCCTGGAAGAGGAAGAGATGGGTCAAGCCCCCTCACTCCTATTCCAGGCAGGTGCAGCTCACCTGGAGCAGCACCAGGAGTTACCTGGGGCTCTGCAGCAGCACCTTTGGAATGGGAATGGGGAGGGGAGGGACAGGGAGGGTGGGGCTGCAGGTGCCCGAAGTGGGGGGGCACCTGAGCCCCCACTCACCTGCCCTCCCCCAAAGCGCTGGCGCAGGGCTTCCACCTGCTCAGGCTCCAGCTTCTGGAACAGGGGGCTCACCTGGCAGGGACAGAGGGGTCACACCTGGGGGTCAGCACCCGCGGGTGCCCCCCCCGCAGGGCCTGCCCTGCCCTCCCCCGGCCGTACCGTGCCAACGCGGTGCCCGGCGGGCAGGGTGCAGGTGAGGCCGGGCCCGAGGCCGCAGCGCTCCGGGGGGATGCGGAGCTGGCCCTGGATGGCGGCGCTGACCCCGGGCACGAAGGGCTGGAGCAGTGCGGCCAGCGCCGCCGCCACGTTCACCGCGACACCGGTCACCGTCCCTGCGCGCTGCCTGCAGGGACACGCTCGGTGACACCTCTGTGACCCTCCCTGCTTGGTGACCCGATGGGGCAGGATGCTCGGTGACCCCTCTGTGACCCCTCCCTGCTCAGTGACCCCCGTGTCCTGCACTGCCTGGGGTGGGGTCACGCTCGGTGACACCTCTGTGACCCTCCCTGCTTGGTGACCCGATGGGGCAGGATGCTCGGTGACCCCTCTGTGACCCCTCCCTGCTCAGTGACCCCCGTGTCCTGCACTGCCTGGGGTGGGGTCACGCTCGGTGACACCTCTGTGACCCTCCCTGACCAGTGACCCCCCTGGGGCAGGGACATGCTCGGTGACACCTCTGTGACCCCCTGGGGCAGGGACACGCTCGGTGACCCCTCTGTGACCCTCCCTGCTCAGTCACCCCCAAGGCCATGTGCCTGTGCTGCCTGGGGGAGCGCAGTGCCTCAGTGTCCCTTGTGCCCCGTGTCCCGCCCTCGCCCCCCTCCCCGGTCACTGCCCGTGGGAGGGGCCATCAGGAACCCCCCGTGCCCTGCCACTCAGTGCCTGTGACCAGGGACCTTCCAGTGTCCCCCCACTCCTGGCCTCACTCCATCCCTACCCTGTGCCCCCATCGGTGCCAGCCCCACCCTGACAAGAGCCAGGAGTGGGGGCCCCTCCATGGCACCCCAGTCACCCTGTACCCCCTCAGATCGTGGCTGTGCCCCCCTCCAGCATCCCCAGTCCCCACCTGTGCCCCCTCCCTGTCCCCAGGTGCCCCATCCGTCCCCACCTGTCCTTCTCATCGCCCTTGATGCGCTTCCAAGGCTCGTTCACCTGGATGTACTGGTTGCCGTGGCGGGAAATGCTGAGCACGCACCTGAGCGCGTCGCGGATGCTGGGGGGGCATGGGGGGGCTGAGCACCTGCAGGGCAGGCTCTGCACCCCCCCCCGGGCTCTGGGACCCCCAGGACCCACCGGACTTTCTCCATCAGCTGGTGGTACTGGCGCATCTCCAGCGTGACCCGGGCCAGGAGCCGCTGGTCCTCGGCCGTGAGCGCCATGGGGGGCACGGTGCCCCCAAAGAACTTGCACACGAACATGCCAGCCCTGGGGACAGTGGGGACGGGTGTGAGCACAACCTGGGACAGGTGTGAGCACAGCGCGGGGACAGGTGTGAGCACAGCCCGGGGACAGGTGGGGACAGGTGTGAGCACAGCCCACAGACAGGTTGGGGACAGGTGTGAGCACAGCCTGGGGACAGGTTGGGGACAGGTGTGAGCACAGCCCGGAGACAGGTGGGGACAGGTGTGAGCACAGCCCACAGACAGGTTTGGGACGGGTGTGAGCACAGCCCGGGGACAGGTGTGAGCACAGCCTGAGGACAGCTGTGACCCATTCTGGGCACAGGTTGGGGACAGGTGTGAGCACAGCCCAGGGAGAGGCTGGGGACAGCTGTGAGCACAGCCTGGGGACAGGTGTGAGCCCATTCTGGGCACAGGTTGGGGGCAGGTGTGAGCACAGCCCGGGGACAGCTGTGAGCACAGCCTGGGGACAGTTTGGGGACAGGTGTGAGCACAGCTGTGGCCCAGCCCTCCTCCCCAGTGTCCCTACCTGTTGATGAAGTTGCCCAGGTTGTTGAGCAGCTCCGAGTTGTTCTTGAGCAGGAGGTCAGCCCAGGAGAAGGCGCTGTCCTGGCCCTCGGGCCGCAGGTACAGCAGGTAGAAGCGCCAGACGTCGGCCGGGATCCCGGTGTCCTTGGCCATGTCCCCGAACACGCCCACGCCCCGGCTCTTGGAGAACTTCCCATCCTCGTAGTTCAGGTACTCTGGGGACAGGTGAGCCCCACCGTGGGGAGCTGGCCCCTCCCAGGCAGGTAACGGCCCCAGGCATGGCATGGGGAGGGTGGAGCCCCCACCCCTGGGGACCCCTCACACCTGGGGATCCCCAACACATGGGGACCCTCACACCTGGGGATCCCCACACGCAGGGACCCCTCACACCTGGGGATCCCCAACACCTGGGGACTGCTCACACCTGGGGATCCCCTCACCCAGGGACCCTCCCAGCTGAGGATCCCTCACACCTGGGGACCCCTCCCAGCTAGGGCTCCCCACACCTGGGGATCTCCACACCAAGGGACCCCTCACACCTGGGGGGCCCTCACACCTGGGGCTCCCAAACACCTGGGCACCCCTCACACCTGGGGATCCCCACACGCAGGGACCCCTCACAGCTGGGGCTCCTCAACACCTGGGGACCGCTCCGAGGTCGTGATCCCCAACACCTGGGGCTCCCCAATACCCGGGG